AGGTGAGCGCGGCCCTCGCTTCTCTCCTCCCCTCTCTCCACAAGCAATACCCTCTCATTTAAAAGCTCCAGCGTCACAGTGTTCTCAAAGATCGCGCTTGTTCACATCACCCGGAAACTGTCGGGAAAGCTGTCGTGTGTCAGGAGGCGGCCGAGCTCGCAGGGCGCCGTCGCGATGTCCAGGGGCCCAGTTTGTGACAGCTGGACCCCGTCAGCGGCCACAGCGACGGCCGATGGCTGACCTCGAAGGGACAGGCACACTGGGCGTTTCTCAGAGCACCGTGCGGGCCCCTCTGGAGAGCCAGCGGGTGTCTGTCAGTCACGGAACGGCGTCCCATGAAGCGTCCGGCTCAGACGCGGTCACACTGAGTCTGTGGTAGACGCGCTCGGAGCACTGCCTGTTCTGTCCAAAAACGCACACGCACGGTCGCTGCCTGATGAAAGCCACCCTCCCTGGGCACCGTCGAGATAAATGACGATCTTTGCGATGCAGGTCCTTCGATGCTGACATCTTGGTTGGCGCCAAGGACCCACGCTTCAGCCACCGTCTGCCCCGCTCCCGTGGTGCAGAAAGCAGCCCGTGAAAAAGACAGTCACTTCTCAATACTGTTTTTTAAAATATGTTTTTATTGATGTCAGAGAGGACAGGAGAGGGAGAGAGAGAGAAACATCCATGATGAGAGAGAGTCATCGATCGGCCACCTCCTGCACGCCCCACCCTGGGGATCGGGCCCATAACCGGGCGTGTGCCCTGACCAGGAATCGAGCCCTGACCTCCTGGTTCACAGGTCGACGCTCACCCACGGAGCTATGCCCGCTGGGCTCCTGATGCTATTACGAATATCACTTTAACCCCAGGACTCCCCCAAAGACTGACAGGACCCCCTCCCGCGGGTTCGGGGCCCACCGTGGAGACCCAGGGCCTCCGTCCCAGCCGTGGCAGGAGGCGGCGGCTGTGGGACATGCTGACGGAGCGTAGTTAGCACAGGATGTGTTCCATGGAAGGAGCTTGAGGACATCTCCACAGCCCCCTGGGGTTCCCTCTGGGCCGGTGAGGCGTCCGGAAGTAGCGTTCAGTTTTCCAAAAAGCCTCTGAGGAGGTGAGAGGAGGAGGATGAAATGCATCCAGGGAAGCGGAGACCCAGTCCTGTGCTGTGTGACCTGCAGCCAGAGCGGGTGATGCTTCCCGATCCCAGATCCCAGCGTCTCACTCCCGAGAGTCCGGCTGCAGCCCTGGCCGGTGTGGCCCAGTGGGTAGAGCGTGGGCCTGCAGACTGGAGGGTCCTGGGTTCAATTCCAGTCCAGGGCACATGCCCGGGTTGTGGGCTTGGTCCCTAATAGGGGGCGTGCAGGAGGCAGCCGATCCATGAGTCTCTCTCCTCATGGATGTTTCTCTCTCTCTCCCCCTTCCTCTCTGGAAGGTACCTTGAACCGTGGTTATTATTTCAGAAATAAATAGGGCGACCCGCCTGCTGGGAAATGAAGCGAATTAGAATCAGGACGAGATGCAGGAAATCCGTCTCCAGGGGACTGTTAAGATAAAACCACGGTCAGCTCGCTCTTGTACCTGAAAGCAGGTTAGAGTGGGCATCTGACAGTTACGTGCGTCGGAATGTCCATTACTAGGCAGGTGAATTTGGACCTATATTGCTTCCCTGTCTTTCATTTTTTTTTTTATGTGTCGATTTTGTATTTTATTAATTTTTTACAGAGAGGAAGGGAGAGGGAGAGGGATAGAGAGTTAGAAACATCAATGAGAGAGAAACATCGATCAGCTGCCTCCTGCACACTCCCTACTGGGGATGTGCCTGCAACCAAGGTACATGCCCTTGACCGGAATCGAACCCGGGACCCTTCAGTCCACAGGCCGACGCTCTATCCACTGGGCCACACCGGTCAGGGTGAAACATAAATTCTTCAGAAAGAGGACTGCAGTCTGGCTCAGGGCCTGTGCCTGGTCAGGCTGCGCTGACCCCTCCCCCCAGAAAGCAGCCGGTCCGCTGTGGCCTCGGCAGAGCAGAGCCGAGCTTTCCGAGAAGCAGAAGCAGAAGCGGCGGCTGACCTTTCCTCCCGGGGACGTGCCGGGCGCCGGGCGCTCACTTTCCCCCGCGGCCACGCGGCCTTCACGCTTCCTCTTCTGTAGCCCCTGCCCGGCCACACGCCTCCCCCGGGCGCCCTCCGTGCACTTGGTTAAGAAGTATTTCCAACAGGAAGTTCAGGAAAAACTGGAGGGGAAGCAGAGACACGCACGCAGCGCCCACCGGCACTTCAGCTCTGACAGGAGCTTGCACCCCGCCGATGCCCACCGCCCCCCAGAGGAGAGAGCAGGAAGCTGGGCTGTTTCAGCTCAGGGTCCTGGTGGGCGGACGGTGGAGGGGAGACTGGAAGGGCGGCTCCCGGGAGCCAGAGGCTGTCGCTAAGACGTGTCTGACGGGAGATCGGACGCCTCCAGGAGGCACTTCTGCGGAAGCGCGAGTTCCCCTTTCTCACGCACGCAGATGTCAGGTGGCCACTAACGCTGCGCACCCCAAAATGTGCTTTCCGTCAACCTGGCAGAAACGGGTGTCATGTTGGTTCATTCACACCAGGCGGGTGTGGCCGTGCTGGCTGCGGCCATGTTTTATCTGACAGTCTAGGGCAGGGGTCCTCAAACTACGGCCCGCGGGCCACGTGCAAATACAAATAGCGTATTTGTTCCCGTTTTGTTTTTTTACTTCAAAATAAGATATGTGCAGTGTGCATAGGAATTTGTTCATAGTTTTTTTTTAAACTATAGTCCGGCCCTACAACGGTCTGAGGGACAGTGAACTGGCCCCCTGTTTAAAAAGTTTGAGGCCCCCTGGTCTAGGGAGACGAGGTTGGTGCGCCAGACACGGCCAGGCCTTGGGCGCTGTGGAACCCCCCGGCACCCCGATTGGAACCGCGGCCCTGGAGGTGGGTTGGGGTTCTGGCGGGTCCCCTTGACCCGAGAGGGCTCTGGTGTATGAGGACCGAGATGGCCCCCCAGGCAGGCAGGCTGGACGGGGCCCGGTGAGAGGCGCGGCCGGCACCTCCTGACCTCCATCTTTCCCT